AACTCCCTGCCGGGACTCTTCCGTCTTTTGAGAGGGAGTTTGTTAAGTGGAAGGCTATCGATGAGATAGTCATTAAAGACAGGGACCTTGATCTCCCGAGCAGATCGGAAATCGATAGCCTGCTGAAGCGAGTGTAAAGGGAGTTACGTCGCACATCTAGCTGCCTTTGTATAGATTTTTATTTTCCTTTTTTGTAATAACTTTGCCCGAGAAGGCTTATTATTTTTTAATAATGAAAGTTTCTTTGTTCTTCTCTTTCTTCCTTTTGCGTACAGAAAACTTTTTTTTTATGTTATACGATGGAACTTTTTAGTTCGGAATTGGAAGTGGAATTCCTTTGCCCGTCTTATACCAAACGACTACCAAGATCGAATACTAAGTTTCCAGGATTCACTTTGGCCCAAAAGGTATGACCGAGGGTCGTGCGAGTATTGTCCTCGGCTTTCTTCTTATCCACTTCGGAAGTATTTAAATTTAAAAGGAAGTATCAAATGAGTGGTGATCAGCTACTGTTTTTTTTGTGTTTGCTTTTTCGAACCGAATGTTTGGCCAGAACATCGATTCAGCAAAATGCATTCGAAAAGAAAATATAACTCTACACACCGAGCTGATTTTCTGGAATAAAAATTTATTAAATTTATAGCTGCACCCGGAGGTTGCCTACGTACCCAAGTTGGGATCAAGCCATTCGTAGTTCATTACAATTAGTGATTGAGTAGTATCACTCAGGGGCCAAGCCCGGTTTTATTGAAAGAAAAAAAACTAAGTATTATAGTCGCTAAATTCAGTGTTGAATTTACTTCGCTTGTTTAGCGTCCTCAAGGGCTTTTATCGAGGAGAGTCGCACCTTTCGTTCGCTAATGAAGCAAGATCTTGCCATCTGCTAATTGCCGTGAAGAGTGAAAACTCTGGCCGAGGTAGCAAATTTCATGCATTTATGGTAGGTCGACACGATAGCTTTCATCTCGTAGATCCAAGGTGTGCCGAGTGTGGCATTGTAAATTGCTGGTTTATCCATGACAGTGAATTTGATAATTTTTGTCACTCTACCTACGTAGACTGGGAGTCATTTCGTCTCGAGACTGAAGAAAGAGTCGCTGGCAAAGTCAGTCAAAGGCGTTGGCGCTGCCTTGATGTCTTTGTCTTGGAGCCCCATCTTGGTCAACGTATCTTTAAAGATGATGTTGACAGTGCTGCCGGTATCCACCAATATTTTAGCTACCTCGCTATTGTGGATGTGTAGTTCGACCACTAGTGGGTCGTCATGTGGGGTGTGCAACCCGTGCATGTCTTTTGACGTGAACGTGATCGTGGGGTGGTAGTCCACCGGATGAGGGAATTTACGCGAAGCGATTGTTTTGCGGCCTTACTCTTTGATAGCGCGAACCGAATCATCGCAGTCGGGGAGTCCTCCCATGATCATGTTAACCCATCGCTACGGTGGAGGGGGTGGGTTTTCGTGCTTGCCTTCATCGTTTTGGGGCTCTGCTCCTTTTTCCTTTTCCTTTTCTTCGTGCTTTTTCTCGGACAAACGACTTCGGCGTCTTCCTCTGGAACCGCCTCGGCTGCTGCTTTTCCCTGGATCCCGGTGATCCCTGCTGGATGTGCTTTGGTGCGAGTTCCTTGAGTTGGAACTGCGTGAATAAGAGTTTTTGCTCTGGGATCGATCGCCACCAACGTTGATTTTGCCTTCCTTGTATTTTTCATACAATGTGTTCTGGAGGTGTCGACAGGCCGAGGTAGCGTGTCCTGTTCGGCCATGAAAGGAGCAGTAGAGGTCTTGATTATCGTCCCTATCGCTCACACTCCTTGGGGGATCTCCTAGGGTCCACTGATTCCAGGGCTTCTCTCCAGTTGTTACAACGGGATAAGAGGATGGCTTGCTTTTGCCTGCGAGCTACTTGTCTTTCAAAGTGCCTCCCACGTCCATGCCGTGTTTCTTGGCATAGAACGTTCTCTACTCCTCCATCCGTATGAAAATCTGGGCCCGATGGAGTGCGTCTTTTATGGTTTCCTTCGGGTGTTTCTGCAGATCTTCTTTGAAAGAAGATTCGAACCACAGGCCGTTCATAAGTGCCTCGATGGCTAAAGCTTGCAGGATTTGGCCGTATGCCACGACAGCGTTCTTGAATTTTTCGATGAAATCGCGGAGTGGCTGGTCGCGTTCTTATACCAGAGTGAATAGGTTGACCATCTTCTTTGTAATGAACATGGAATAATATTTTATAAAGGCGTGGGTCAAATCCTTGAAAGACTTGATTGATGCCGGAGGGAGGTTAGAGAACCACTTAAGAACGTCCTTGCTGAGATGCTCTACGAAACTTTGGCAGTGGTTAACTTCGCGTTCGAGGCGATGTTGAATCCGGTCAACCATAGGTTGCCTCTTCATGGCGACGTTGAATCCGGTCAACCATAGGTTGGGGTCTTTCATCCCGTTGTAGTATGGGAGCTTCAGTTTTATCGCCTCGCCAAGTCGTACGTTGGTGATCCGTGGGGCGAACAGATTGCGTTCGGCATCTGATAGTATGGCCGAGATCTCGGGTGCCAAGCTGGTGGCGCGGTGGACTTGGGCTCCGATTACGTTGATTCGCTGGTGTAACCTTTCGATCTCGGAATTCAGTTCCTCCGATGGCTCCTCAGTAGCTGGTGCCGTGCCTCAAGTGTTGTTTTGCTCCGGTGTTTTGAAGAATAATCGTCGTCTGATTGGTTTCGATCTCGTGGTGGTTGCGGCCGCGAATGGGCTGAGCTGTTCGTCGTATTTGGCTTGTTGGGCCTGAAGGGTGTCTAGTTTGGACACCAGGCTTTGTGTGAAGGGGAGCAAGGCGGCCTGGATTGCTGCTGCAAGGTCGGAGGCGAGGATAGGAGCTGGGGGCGCTCTCGTGGATGGATTCGCGGTAGTTGAGTTGACGTGCTCGCCGAGAACAGGTGTCTCGGTGTCCGTGGTGGTGTCATCGTCGTTGCGGATGAGATCGCTGTTGTCGATCGGGAGACTCATCGCTTCAGTTTTTTTTTTGCTAGTTTTTCAAGAATTTATTCTCATAGTCCCCACAGACGGTGCCAACTATTTTAACCAGAAAATCACCACTAGGATTTGATTAACAGTTGTGGGGTTTGGAGAATAAGATCTTTTTATTAATAGCAAGTAAGCGAAGCGATTACAAAGAAAGGTATAACCGAGAGGTTATGCCGAAGTGAAAAAAGTGTTTGCGAAGTAAACTAGAGAGCGTTGGAGTTTCTGGTTTTAGCCCTGGTGCTCTCTAGAATGTATGAGTAGGTCTTCTTGGCTTCGGAGTCCCTTTATTTATAGGGATAGGAGGTTGGTTGCTCCTAACTCCTTTTCCTTTTTCTCTTTGGTGAATATTTTCATATTTGTGATATGGAAATATCTCTTATTCTCCGAAGAATATGGAAATTCTCCTTTATCCTTCGAGTTGATCCGATATTTCTGGTCTTCGAAAGTTATATTTAAGATGTTTCCTTTAATCCGAGCTAGATCGGTACGGTCTTCCTGATCTTGATGAGCTTATGTTACTGCTAAAAAAAATCTTTCAAAAAATGTGTTCATTTCCCCTCTAACATATATACTTCACACATAATAAATAGAATCAAGAATTCAAAATCTCTAGTTTAAACCTGATGCTAGAAACGAGCAGACGACCTAATGGTAGCCGATTAAATTAAAGTGTTCAATTAATTTTTTTTTATATAATTAGATTACACTTCTACAAATTTAAGGATTTAATAATGATCTCATTGTAATGAACTGGACACTTTTGCAACGATCGTTTTTATAAAATAAAGACAAAATTCGTCTTAAAATGATCATGTAATTAACCACTCCCTCGGGATATTAATAGTCACACTCCCTGAGAGATCCTTTCATACTAACCACTAATATTTGCATGGTTATTACCTCAACGTTTCTAAAATATATCAAGTTATAGTACATTATAATTCAAAAAATTCGTAAGAACGCGAAATTTGGTTATTTTACAAAGTTATGCGTAATAAACTCATCTACTGCAATGGTTTTGTTTTGTGTTTCTCTAAAACCTTATTTCTTGACTCCATCAAAATTTTCAAGAAGCTAGTTGTTGATGTGCCATTTGTCTTATTTGATTTTTCATGTAATGCTACTATGCACTTTTGATCAGTCTATAACCTCAGTGTTTGTTAGTGATGAACTTCTCTTCTCCGATCACTACAAGAAAACACATAAGATCTGACGGTGAAATCAGTAAAAAAACCGTGGAAAAGGCTGTTTCCGACGGTTTTCCAATGAGCTAAATTACAGAAAGGGAATGGTATCTTTAATGGCTTCAACGGACGGGACAGATGGTTCTAAAGGATTTGTGAAGAGAACTAGGAAGAGAATAAGAATGCAACAAGTGCAGGAGGCAGTGAATCTGAAGATGCTTATAAGATCGAAATCATCAGGTATACTAAATGTCAAACATTGTTGTGCAGCCGTGCAGGTACCTCCCCAAGTTCCATGAGAGCACAACTTCTCCAGAAAAGAATACTAGATCTTAAAGATAATTAAGTGTAAGTGAAAGCTTGTGTTCACTGGTCAAAAGAACTATCAAATCTAGCAACAACAAGAAAAATGGCAGCATGGAGAACGCGCCCGTGAAGAGAAACAAAATTATTGAAATAAGACTATGTTAACAGATCATCTAGTATAGTATATTGATGAGTGATTTCCCAATAGAAAACGCTGTGAGAGTATTATAGCTTCATAGTTTAATTCGTAGATGTATATTAAACTAGTATGCTATATACTTGCCAAAACAAAAACAAACCTGTCTTGGCAACAAGTTTAATTTGTTTAAAATCAGATTCGAAATTGAGTAAAAGTAAACACTTGCAGGATTTGATGAATTCCATCACACAGGTTTAGAGTTTGAGATACATAACTAAACTAGACCAAAAAAAGAAAACCAGATCCATGTCAAAATGTTAACTTCATATCCGTGTAAGATCACAACCGTAGCAAAAACCTAATTGTTACTACACAAAACCTCCAAAAATCGTCTGAGACAGGGAGCAAGGGAAGAAGAGGTACTCTGCGCAATATGAGGAGGAGGAGGAAGAACAAGGGCAAAGCAGAGGATTCCACGCAACCTGAAATACCAAATACTGATGTCGTCATCTGTTTTCAATCCGTTGCTCTCAACGATTTCGTTCCACCCGCAAATCAAAGCGTAATTCAAGGTTCCTCTCCCTGACTTTTTCTCCATTAGCCGTCTCATCAAAATCAAACCCCACTTTACATTCTGTTGATTCACTAGAATCGCTCCAAGTCCTTCTTCATTGTCATCTTCTTCTGCTACGATACTTGACTCCACAGGCGTCAAGAAGTCGTTACGGATTAGGGTTTTGAAAGGCATTAAGAGACGGCTCTGTTGTGGTTTAACATCTGTTTTGGTCAGTTTCTTCTCAAAGATGAGCCTCGGGCCTTCGGTTACTTCGTTTCCTTCGATTACTTTGGTTCGTCTGGTTTTCTTCATGCTTTCCATCATTGGGATTAGACATTCCGGTATCGCTCTCCCTATCCAAGAAAAAGAAGGAACCATTGGCTTCTTGGCTTTTCTTGCACGACTAATGTTTCTATCTTGCACGGCACGTCTCTTGCGGCTTGTCCTCTCTCTTAGGCAAGACGAACTACGGTTTTGTGCGTTTGTCGTCATCTCTGTCTTCTCGAACTCAGCCGTGTTGCAATCGATGAGTAAGGTTGAAGAAGAAGGAGAAACCTTTGCTTTCTTAGATTTTCTTGCAGCACTAGGGTTTCTATCTTGCACGGCAGGGCGCTTGTGGCTTGTCTTCTCTGTTAGGCATGACAACTGGGAATTAGGGTTTTGTGGGTTTGTCCTCATCTCCGTCTCGAACTCAGCCGCGTTGTAATCGGCAGGTAAGGTTGAAGAAGAATGAGGGTTTTGTGGGTGATTCCTCTCGGAATGAGCTGAGAGAAAGCATTGATGAGGGTTTCGTGGGTCACAATCAACGGGGATCGTGTTAAGGTCGAGGAGCGACGAAGAAGAAGTAGAAGCACCATTGACATTTTGATGGGTTTCTTCAGGGTTTCTCCACACCCTTTTAGTAACAACTAAACTTCTTCTTTTTCTCGGGAAGAGATGGAAGAAGCTCTTCTCGCGCTGCTCTTCTTCATCTTCAGAGAGAATCTTCACCTTCGTGTGGGATTTGGATTTATCTTTCTCACCAAGAAGACGCTTATGTTGTTCTTCTTCGTATAACGCAACGGCTGCATCGACCAAATTACAGAAATTTCTTGAGCTTATATCATTCTCTGCAGCCTCAAGATGATCATCATAATACTTGCTCATACTAATCGGAACGAAAACTCGAGGTTCTGAACTTCTGATAAGGGAAAAAAAAATAGAAAAAGAGAAAGTGGAAAATAATGAGCCAAATTGAGAATGAGAGTGCTTCTCTTACATTAAATACTCTCAGCTTACTCTATCTTTCCCCTTTCTAACATTAATTAGGTTTTCAAATCAACGAACGATGAGAGAAATTGGGAATTGTGATAGAGAGAGACAGAGACAAAAAGTCCAACTTATGGTAGGATTTATGTACTTGCTTGCTACTCAAGCCTTCCAAAACTTTCTATTTTTCTATTAGTGAAAAAATTACATATATTTTAAAATACTGATAAAGCAATGTGACAAATTTAACAAATGTTTGGAAACAATACATATATTTCAACAGATTTTCTGTTTTTTTTTTCTTTGTCAATAGCCTCTCATCCTATAGATTGGTTCAGAGATCCAAATCGATGGATTTGAGTTTACATAGTCTATATTATAAAGGTAGTTGCGAGCACTTTTTGCTAGCTTGTCTACCTTCTTGTTGTCAGCGCGTGGAATATGCTTTATGGAGAATAAGGTGAATTCCTTCCTGCATCTCTCGTATTCCTCCAAGTATGCTTCGAAAGCCAGCCAGTCTTCTAGTTTGGCCACCATCTTCACCAGTTCTAGGCAATCTGTACCAAAAACCACCTCTAATCTTTGCGCATCAAACATGCAATGCATAGCCCATACCAATGTCTCCAGTTCCGTGTGTAATGGGGAACAACAGATTTTCTGTTATTGTTATCTGTTTATTTTTTTAAAAGAAATTATGTAAATAACCGTAAATACTAAAGATATATTCTTTAAATTAATTGTATGCTAGTATTTTTTTTTTCTTCAAAATACAATATATCTATTATAAAAGAGGATATTATATTACATTGTATAAGATTGTTTCAGTTAGGGATGGGTATTCCGATTTATTTTCGGGTTCGGTTTAGGTTTGGTTCAGTTTAGGTTTGGTTCGGTTTGGTTAGTTTGGTTTTACTAAAACTCTAACCAAATTTAACCAAATTTAATTCGGTTTAGATTGGTTCAGTTCGGTTTAAACACAGTTCGGTTATAGTTAATTTGGATTCATTTAATTCGGTTACCAGATTGAGAAACAAAACCTTCTATGAACATAATGTAACGTCAATATCAAAATTAAAAACTTATTACTTTGAAACCATGAAGAATCAAACAGAAAATATATGAAAGAACTTCGGTTTTCTTTATGAATGAAACCTAGATACTTAGATATAACATGAGTTTTAGGTTTTTCTTTTGAGATTTGAGAATCGAAGACAGTATCTAACATATTAAAAATCTGCAATTAATATTTTGGCTTATGTGTCATTATCTCAGAATTTTGAATTTTTTAAATCTAAAATGGTTAAAAACTTAAATACTTTATTCTTGCAACCAAACACAATCTTTCTTGCAACCAAAACAAAATTTCTATATTATTTATTTTTTAATTGCATTTCATGTTTCAAAATCTGCAATTAATATTTAGGTTTTTTGTATATAATTTAAACAATTCGATTTAAATAAATAAATATGACAGAAAATTTAAGTGAATCTTTGTTCATAGGCTAACATATCATTATTTTAATTATATATTTTTTTAACTAATGTGTTTTAACACCACAATTATTCTTAATATTTCTGATTTAATTAATTAATTATATTCTTAACATTTCTTAATTTAATTAATTGACACTTACTGTTTACAATTGAGTTAAATTTGTTTTATGATTTAGTTTGATTGATTAAAATTGGGTGTAATAGTAACCAAAATTTCAAAATTGTGTACATATAAAACATAAACCAATCCAACTACATTATAAACCGAATTAAACGATAACTTTTTATATGACAAATTTTACTTATCTAAATATAGTATTCGAATATAGTATTATGCGGTTACAATAACTACTAAATTTTTGAATATTAAACAAAAAGAAAAGAAATTTTTTTAATCGGTAACAAATCTTTTTAAAAATATTGTGTTAACATATCTTCACAATATACGGAATGTACAAATAAATTCTAGAATGCAAATATTTGCTAAATATTTGATTCTGCATGTATCTATCTTAAAACATACACTATTGATAAAATGTCGTCTTATAGCATTATATTCCATTAATATAGGGGTAAGAATAACTATATATCCAAAATGGATTTTTTTGCAGATTTTTCGTAATGATAATTGTATAAATAGACGTGTAGTGGCAATTAAAAGTTTATTGGATTCTCAAATTTGGTACAACAACGTGAATTTAATATTTTGCAGAAAAATATGGCTTTTTATTTCGATAGAAAAATCTGATTTTATGGTTTTAACAAAGAAAAAACTTGATTTCATGGTTTAAATTAAAATGTGTTTTGGTCTTTCAATTTTTTGAGATTCAAATACTGCATCCAAACTCTAATTTTTTAGCATCTTAAAGATTCAAATTTTGAGATATTATAGATTTTGTATCGAGATATTTAAAAGAACAATAATTTCATCCAAATAAGTATATGGATATAAAAACAATCAAAACCTAAGTAAATATTAATTACAAACAACTAAAACCTCTCTTGCATTATAAAACATAACATTTTGAAAATATTTGTTATAAAATTTAACCGAAAATCCGCTAATAAAAATATCTTTTTTAAAAAAAATCAAGCCTAAATAATTTTAAGAACATAAAACCATAATGTAAAAATATTTTATATAATCTAATAAAAAATTCTGTTTGGGCCACAATTTTGGATTTAATAGTATAAGCTGATTTTTTGAATAAAAATTTAATATAAACCGATTTATAGTGTGGCCTAAAAATATTTTATAGAAAGCGACCCGCGTAAGTGGGCGGATCCAAAATCTAGTTTAAATAATAGTGCTAAAGTATTAATTTTTAAAGATAATTAATATCATTAATCATTAATAAATTAATAATCAAGAAAACACATTGGTTTCAGTTTGGTTTGGTTTTAAACCGAACCGAACCGAACCATTCAGATTGATAGAAATCTTAACCAAAATGTTTTGATATAGACTTTGGTTTGGTTTGTGATACGATCCTCAAAGGCTGAGGCTCGTTTGTGGAATGATGGAGGCTGAAAGCTGGACTAAAGTCACTCTCTTCTAGCCAGTCGGATGGAATATGGTTGAAGCGGAAAGATGGTGAATTGACTGACTCGCTCAGTCGGTGGGATGGCTGACTCACTCAGCCGTTGGAACTAGCCTTGTCTGAATCACACAAACAAATCTATTCAAAGAATCAGTAGAAACAAATGAATCTCTCTGTTGAATCTAAAGACAAGTTGTTTAAACAAAGAAAACTCTTTGAATAAAAAGAACAAAAGTTTTATATTTTCTTAGATAAAAGTGGTTCTTCTACAAATGAAACAGCAATGAGCTTATATAGGCTCAGTACACGTCCTAGGCAATAACTCTAAAGAGAGAATTATGCAAAAATCAAAGAAAGATCAAAAAGAGAGATTAAAGGGATTTTTGACCCATTTAATAAGAGATGAGCAAAAAGGCTGAATGAAAGGGATTTGTTGACTTGTATCTTGATAGCTTGATGATGAATAATCTCTCCAAGTCTTGCTTATCTCGGATCATGAAGAGAAGTAGCCGTTGGTGAGTTATGGAGCCAAGTGTAAATGCTTCCATATATGGTAAGTAAAAGTGTGACATGATCCGCCTGATCATGTGGGTGCTGGTGCATTGGAAGTTGCTTCCTGACTCCCTTGGATTTCTAGATGTGTCTCCTGAATGCTTAGATGTCTCTCCTGGTCGCTAAAGTTTAGTTTGTAAGTGATTAAACTCGCCAGCTCCCAAATAAGGCAAGCAGAGCATCCTCCGGTTTAGAAGTTGAATAACTTTTGAACCATAATAAAATTTTGGCATAAAACCAATTTTTCTCGGTTCTCTGATGAGTCAAGTTTCCAAAACATCCGGGATTGTTGCTTGGTTCGTCTTGGTTTGGCCGGAATAATTTTATTAGTACTCGCATGTATCCATCGGCTCTATTAAAGATCTTCCAACTTGTATCTTCAATATCTTCTTCATATGAACTCCTTGATTCTTCTTCGTGGTGAATTCTGGATGAGTTGAGTATGCTTTCCAAGTATTTTTTGGGTTTGAATGTTTGATATCAACCTCCATTTGATCTGAACTCCACTCGCATGTCTCCTTAGCTCTCCTCAGCTTCATGTTCTCCACTTCATGACTCCTGGATCCGTGCTCCTTGGCTGATGAGGACTTGAGGTCCGTATCATACTCACCCTCTTGAAAAGGTTTCGACCTCGAAACTATATCTCCTGCACCAAGAAAGAGCAAGTTAGTTTTCATTATATTTTGGGAGTTTAGAGTCTTACCTTGATGCATCTTTGGTTTGGTGAAGTGTGGAACGTCTGGTGGTTCTCCTTTGAGCAGGAAGGATAGGATAGCTCCTACGTTCTGGCCTGGGTCGTGGTTCCTCTGTTTTGTGGTCTTGATAACCTTGGTCTTGTCCACCTTGGGTGGTGATGCATGTTTGCTTTGGTTTAACAACAAGTTCTCCTCTTGTGGATGGTCTTTATGTTTTATGTCCATAGTACCTGAAACAATCTCAAATCTTTAGACAAGAAACAAGTGAATTATGGGTTTCTTACAAAATTTTAAACTTGTTAAACCTAATTTTTTGTGTTGCTGTTTTAGACAAGGTATTAAGTTCTCACTTTCTCTTATTTCTAGTAAGTTCATTACTTTTGAATATTCAGAAATAATTTTAGTAAATGAATAACTTACCTGAGGAACACTCTTAGTGTTCTTGCTTCCCAAATCTGTAAAGTGATGTAATATTTGATCTGGAGGCTTCTCTTTGAGGCTGTCTCCTCTCTCAGCAATCTTTGTATAGTCTATACCTGATAATTTTCTCAAGGACAAAAGCAAGTGCATCATATCTGAGTTTAAAATCATAGAAATAGGCTTTGAAATATTTAAA